GGGACGGGTCATTATTTATGGTGGGGGGGGGGGCACCGAAGAGAAATGTTTTTCCTGGTAAAAATTTTGCTGACCCAACCGTTAAAAAGCAAAAAATTTGATTACCCAACCTCAAATATCAATTAAAAAATAAATACCCACCCCTGGCCAAAACCTTTACAAAAAAATACCATTCAGTTGTCACACATGTCCTTTACCACTTCTGTGACACAAGTTTGATAACTAAACTTTCATGTTGTATGTACATGTACTTTCTTTGGGACCATTTGTCTCCCAACAAATCGGAAAATGATCAATAGTGACTCTGATTGATTCACATATTGTTTTGACATATGACTGTTGACATTGCTTTTCAGTCTCCAATATTTAAGTGAGTCATGCTTTGGAAATGACAATAACTTTTTATTACCCAACCCTTGAGTTGTTTTGTTTTTCATTTACCCAACCTTTTACTTACTCAAAATTTAGTTTACCCAACCCTTTTCTCTTCGGTGCCACCCCCCACCATAAATAATGACCGCTCCCTTACTGTATATGTTAACATATGTACAGCACAGGGGTGCAAATAAATACTTGACTTGACAGGACATTTGTCCGACCACTTTTAATTTTGGTCGGGCATAACTTGAATTTGGTCGGACAAAAACCAACACCACTAAATTTGGTCGGACATATACAGTATACGTCACAAGATGTATATAAGTCACGAGACAAGTATGTATAGCCATTCCGGCGCAACGTTAAGTAAAATGCTAGAATGCCTCGTAAATTTATTGCAAAATGCAAATTGAGTGAATTTGCAATCGGATTTTGTCACAGCGAAAAAATGTATGTGACAATTTTTTTTTGTGATCGGACCAATGTCCGAACCAATGTCCGATCAAAATTACTTTGGCTCGGACATTTGCCAAATTTAGTGGGACATTGTCCGACGTCCGATGTTGGACGATTTTTTGGATAACATTCTGCAGGGCTTCAAATTACTGTCCAGTAATTTGAAGCCCTGCAGTATGTTATCCAAAAAATATCGATTACTGGCTAACCATCAGGATTTGGGGCATCTCACTCGATAGAACTAACAGGAAAATGCAACATATAGGCCCCTGGCAGGACCTGCACCTGTGATTCCGGTGCAGTGCTCTAACCAACTGAGCTACAGAGGCAGTTGTCGAGCTCTAACCACAAGAACTATGTACTAGATGGTTAATGCTTGTCAACTGTCTCTCTGTATATAGCTTACTTTGTTAGAGCGCTGCACCGGAATCGCAGGGCCACAGGTTCGATTCCTGGCAGAGGGCCTATAGTTGTGTTTTTCGCAACTGTTCCTGGTTACAGTAGGTCTAAAAATTGTCAATTTCCATCCACAAAAACCATTTTACGTACTTCTAAATGAATTTGCTTCTCAATCACTAGTTTATACAACTCGGGATCTTGTAAAACGTGATAGCCATGACCAATACGATTGGCGTGTAATAGAAAGATCGCCTAGAAAAGAGAAAAAGTCTGGTTTAAATGAATGTAAAAGCTTGCTGAGTATATTGGATTATGGTATAGAGTATATGAGCATGCTTATGACCATATTGGATTATAGTATACAGTATATGAGCATGCACGCTCATGGGCACACTGGATTTTGGTATGTATGACTGTACAGTATATGACATGCTTATCACCATACTGGATTTTGGTATGTTATTATAACACACTAACTTATGATATCAACTAAATTGGTTGCTGTAGAACAGTGTCTTTTGCTTACTTCATGTACACTGGCTGCAGGACCAGCCTCGCCAGCATGAACTGTTCTTGGGATGCCAAGTTCTTGTGCTCTCTGTGGAAAAAATATTTGTTTATTGTAACAACTGAAGGTTAACTTACTGAACTGTAGGTTGCACTTTTGTAATGCAGAATATGCAGAATGTGATCGAAAAGCAAATTCAACTACTGCACATTATTTTAGAATGCAACCTAAAGAGTGTCCAAGCCATTATTCAATTTCTAACTTTTGAGCCAGCTCACCTGAAAAGCCATAATATGTTCTTTAATTGCCGGGATCTCACCCATACTCTCGTCACCCGCGATATCCAGTCCAACAACATTGCGAGTCCTAAATTCTTCGCAAAGATCTACCATCTCTAGGGACCAATCTTTTGACGAATATAAAGAAAAAACAG